ATTCATTCAGAAGTTTATCCCTATCTTCCTTCAGTTCTTTGATTTGTTTGTGTGTTCTTTAAATTCACTGAATTCCTTTATCATGTTTATAATTTTTCTTTTGAGTTCCGTGACCTGCATTATCTCTAGGGGGTTCTCATTGTACTCCTCTAGGGGACTATTGGTATTTGGTGGGGATATGTTAATTTGGTTTTTCATGTTATTTTTTCTCTATGATTTTGACATGTGAATTTCTTTTGTGGCTTCTGATTCTTGTGTGAGACTCAGGCCTTCAAGTTTAGGTCTGCTTCTTTTTGTGAACTTTATGTGTCTTTGTGGTTTACTTTTTGGGCATTGCAAGGTTGGTTTGTCTAAGCTTCCGGTTCTCTCTTTTGATTTTATATTGGAGTGGCCAGATTGCTTTTGTCTTCAGGAGTTCCCACAGAGGCCCAATTCAGATGAGGGTCAGATATTTTCAGGCTTTCTCCTAAGGTCTGAATCCCTCCAGGAACGATTTTGGCTTCAGGAATCTGGGGATTGGACTTGCCTGTGAGCCTGGCCCAGGAAAGATGCTGGTCTAGGGCAGCTGGTGGCCATGCCACCCAGAGGTGTAAAGGCAGATGGGGCGGGAAGAGGCCCCAAGGACTCCTGGGGACTGCACTGAGGAGCTGTGTTGGACTGGATGCAAAGGATTAGGAAGAGGAAAGGTCAGCCCCAGTGTCCCAGAAAGAGGCTGTGGGGTGGTGCAGGCCCAGGGAAGCAGAGGGAGGTGAGGGCGGGGCCAGGCCCAGAAGCAGTGCTTCTGGGGCCCAGAGAAGGCACTACTAAGGGCCCCAAGACAAGGAATGGGGCAAGACCCAAACTAGGAGGAGAGACCAGTGGGGAAGATGGGATGGTGAATGAGGCTGGGGGAGTCAAGGTGTGGCGGGCACAATGGACTTACCCGGTGAGAGGCCTGGGGGTAGGAGAGAGCGCCTTTAGACTTTTTTAAAAAATTAATATTTAATAAACTAAAAGCTTGGTCTCCCTGGGCCTTCTGGTCTGTGGAGTGCTCATGTCTGGAACCCTCCATACCACACAACATTGGCAGGTTCTCCAGCTCCACAGTACTGGGACATGGAGAGCAGGTATGGCAGGGAGGACAGCATTTGGTGCAGTGCTCAAGAGGCTGAGATGAGAGCAGGTGTACCCTCTTAGTCTCTCCCTGAAGTGTGCTGATGGCTGGGAACTCAGGAAGAGCTACAACTCAGACTGTAAGCTTAGACTCAAGGCTAATCTGGCCATATTTTACATATTATCTAGAAAAGTTCCACACTGCCTATGTCTTGTCTTACACCGCTCTTCCTTGTCTTTTTCACTCTTTCTGGTTCATTCTCCAATCTGGAAAAACTAAAAGACCCAGGTCTTGATCCTGGCATGGCCACTAACATGCAGGGTGTCTGAACACAGTCCATGTAGCATCTTTGTTTTCAGGAAATAAAAACCAGGCCTCAAGGCTACATTAGAGTGGTATGAACAAATTATTAAAACTGTAAGCTGGACATGTGGCTCAGGGGTAGAGTGCTTGCTTAGCATGCACATGGCCCTAGGTTTGATTCCTAGCAATGCAACAAAAAACTTTTGCCAAAACCACAGCCTTCCTGATGAGGCTGATCCTTGCTCACAACCTGATCCTACCTTTGGGGTCACTGTCCAGTGGTCTGGGTACTGAGGCATGATGTCATTAGTAAAGGCACTCTTTGTTTTGTTTTCTGTCCTCCTTGGATCTAGAAGATGTTCCCAGGAGCCTGGCTGTGCTGGGCCTCCCTCCTGCTCCTGGTCAGGCCCACCCAGCCTTGCCCAGTGGGCTGTGATTGCTTCAGCAGGGAGGTGTTCTGCTCGGATAAGGAGCTGGCCGCCATCCCACAGGACATCCCCCAACATGCTACAGACATTGTCTTTGTGGAGACTGCCTTCACCACAGTGGGGACCAGGGCTTTCAGTAGCAACCCCAACCTGACCAAGGTGGTCTTCCTTAACACTCAGGTCCATCACCTAGAGCCTGATGCCTTTGGGGGTTTGCCCAGGCTGGAGGACCTGGAAGTCACAGGTGGCCCCTTCTCCAACCTCAGCACTGACATCTTCTCCAACCTGAGCTCACTCTGCAAGTTCACCCTGGACTTCAACAGGCTAAAGGTTCTGCCTGAGGACCTCTTCCACCACATGGACAGCCTGGAGTCCCTCCAGCTGCAGGGGAACCAGCTCCAGACCCTGTCGGGGAGACTCTTCCAACCTCTGAGGCATCTGAGAACCCTCGACCTGGCCCAGAACCTCCTGGCCCAGCTCCCCAAGGAGCTGTTCCAGCCACTCACCAGACTGCAGATACTGAAGCTGAGCAACAACATGCTTCTTACCCTTCCTGAGGGTGCACTGGGCAACCTGGGCAGCCTGCAGGAACTCTTCCTGGACAGCAATGCCATCTCTGAGCTGTCCCCACAGGTGTTCTCACGACTCTTCAGCCTGGAGAAGCTGTGGCTTCAGCACAATGCCATCAACAACCTGCCGCTCTCTGTCTTCTCCTCCCTACACAATCTGACCTTTCTGAACCTGCAAGGCAATGCACTACAGACACTGCCCGCTGGTCTTTTCACTTATAACCCAGGTCTGCTTGGCCTGTCCCTGTCCCACAACCAGCTGGAGACTGTCACTGAGGGCACCTTTGCCAACCTGTCCCGCCTTGTTTCCCTCACGCTTTCACACAACACCATCACCCACCTTCCTGAAGGTGTTTTCAGGGACCTTGAAGAGTTGGTCCAGCTTTACCTGGGCAGCAACAACTTGACAGCCTTGCACCCAGCCCTCTTCCAGAACCTGAGCAGGCTCGAGCTGCTCAGCCTGTCTAGGAACCAGCTGACCACACTCCCTGGGGGCATATTTGACACCAACTACAATCTTTTCAACCTGGCCCTGTATGGTAACCCCTGGCAGTGTGACTGCCACCTGGCCTACCTCACCAGCTGGCTACATATGTACAGCGACCACCTCTTCAACATCCATACCTACTGTGCAGGCCCTGCCTACCTCAAGGGACAGGTGGTGCCTGCCCTGAAGCAGGAACAGCTGGTATGCCCTGTTGCCCAGGACCGCTTGGGCTTCCAGGCTCTGGGACTGGATGACAGGGAGCCGGGGGGCAGCTGGGATCTGACAATGGAGAAGAAGGCAGCCCACAGCTCGTGTACCTACAGCAATCCGGAGGGTACTGTAGTGCTTGCCTGCGATGAAGCCCAGTGTCGCTGGATGAGCATCCAGCTGTCTCCTAGGCAGGGCTCGGGCTCCCCAGCGATAGCCTACAATACTAGTCATGAGTGGGACTTGAAGTCAAGCTGTGGTTCTATGAGGGTCACTGTGTCTATTGATGCTTGGGCTGCTGTGCCTTAGGTACAGAAGATAGAGAAAGGAGCCTGGGTGGGTGGCTTCTTGGGGCAAAGGCAGCTGAGTGCTGCAGCTTACTTAATGGACATGGCTATATCTTCAGGGTAGGGAGGTAGGATGAGGCTTGTCCTACCCAGTATCTCCTCTTCTTCCTTCACCACACCCTCTTGGATTCTGTACCCTAAGAAGGCCAACCTCACATCTTGCAGGCACCCTTGAGAGCTGCACCCCGGTCTGGAGGATAAAACACCCCAACCACAGTATTTTCCTATTGCCTAACCTCACCCCACTCTCCCTGCCCCGAGTACCAGCTCTGAGGTATGTTGACCACTACTGTAGCTGTTCAAAGTGGAAGCCACCGCCAACACACACACGCCTTTGACAAATCAAAAGACAACTTTCTCCCCAAATTTTATTTCAATGGAGAGGGAGGAGAGCAAGAGCAAGAGAGAGAATAGGAACAGAGGTGACCACAAAAAGGTAGGACAGGTAATGGCTTCACGTGGGTAAATGATAATGTCCTGACCACCTTTCCTGCTGCATCCAGGAGAAATCAAAGCAAGATGGCACCACAGGAAGGCAAGACCCAGTTGCTGAGGTGAAGCCCCAGAGGGCCTGGTCTCTTTGCCTGTTCAGCACACGAGATGGTTGCTCCCTGAGGAAGCTGAATGTGCCAGAGGAGGGGGACAGGGAGGAGAGGCAAGCTGTTGGACTGGGGCAGCTGCTCTGTGTCTTGGCTTTCAGGGCATCTGACTCTAGGCTCATTCACTGTAATGCTCACCCGTAGTTTCTGAGACCTCACTGCTGCCTCAGCTGCCAGTGTTCCTCAGCCACCACCCCCCAAGATGGCCTTGCTGTCTCACCTCCTTGGTAATCAGTCAGAGGCCTCTAGGCGCTGATGACCTCACATCTCCATCTTGGGTTCAGCGCTTCTTAGCTGCATGCTACCTCTGACTATGTAGCCACAAGAGGGTCTAAACCAAACTCTGTCCCCACTTCCTCCTACATTCCCATCCAGCAGAACGGCAAGCCCGGAAACTGGGAGCAGAGGAGCGTTCCTGCGCCTTTCACGTGCACACCCTTCCTCATGGCCAATGAATGCCCCTGCTTTTACCTTCCCCACCCCCAGATCATTGCACAATCTCTTACCTGTTTACAGGGCTGCAGAGTGCAAAGGCTACATCAGATGCACTGTAGGCCCTCAGCCGCTCACAGTTCGGGGGAGAAATCAGACAGGAGTACAAGAGAAGTTACCCATCTGCATATGAATTGTTAGCCTTGAATTCCTGCACTCAAGTTCTCCTGCTTCAGCCCCTGAGTAGATGGCACTATTGGTATAAGACCCCATGCCCAGTCAATGTTTGGGACTTGTTTATTTTTCAGTGCTGGGAACTGAACCCAGGACCTTGTACATGCTAGGTAAGCCAGCTACCACCAAGCCACACCACCAGCTCCTGCTTTGTTTTCTTTTTAAAATCCCCTAGATGGTTCTGGGATTCAGTCACCATCCTTGTTACACAGATGAAGACGCTGAAAGGGGAAAGGGGGCATGATTTAGTAAATGCCCAAATAGTCGCATGCTCATTGGCAGAAATAAAGGAGAAAGACAGCTAACATTTCTTTCAACTACAGCTTTTCCTCTGGGGCAGTTGAGATGGCTCAGTGTGTAAAAGTACTCACAGCACAAACCAGGATGACCTGAATTCGATCCCTAGATCCCACAGTTCGATCCCTAAATCCAATTCGATCCCTAGATCCAAAAGTTGTCCTCTGACCTCCACACTTGTACTGTGGCATGTACATAAATAAAATTTAATTAAAAAAGTTTAAAAGTATACATTTCATTGAAATATAAACACCTTGAGCCAAATGGTGCTAGGGAAAGGACACTGGCCAACAGCCAGCCTGGACCAAGGTAAGCTGGGTGAGTAGGTGGCTGAGTGTGTCGCCTGGTACCCAGGGGATCCCCACGTCCTGCCTCTTTGTGGGGTGGTCCAGTCTGGTCCATCAGTTGACCAGTACACCAGCATACTGAACACTGGCAGGCTACTAAGCTCCCTGTGTGTCAGCTTCTTCACCAATAGTTCAATACTTAATGGTATCTGCCCAAGACAATAGTGTAAGAGAAGTCCCCAAACAGTGTAATCCTGAATTATTATTATTATTATTATTACTCAGTCCTTCAACATATTACCATATGTCGTGGCCAGTGATGGACCACTTATATAAGGCTGTCACATGAGATAATAAAGGAGCTGAAAAGTCCTGTTTTGAGTGATACTGTGACTATTCTAACATCGGAAAATGTCACTCATCTGTGGTGATACTACTGTAAACGAGTCTACAGTGTCAGCAGTCGTAAAAGTATAGCATAGGGAGATGGCTCAGTGTTGGTAAAGGCTCTTGCTGTCAACCCGAGGACTTGAGTTCAATTCCCAGGACCCACATGGTAGAAGGAGAGAGAGAAAATCAACTCCTGCAAGTTCTTCTCTGACCTCCATAAGTGTGTTGTGACATGCATGCCCATTCCCCTACACACAAAATAAAGATTTTTCAAAGTATAGCATATACAGTTACAGACAGCATATTATACCTGATAATAACAACAAATGTACTGTTGGATTATGTATTCACCATACTTCAATTTTAATAATTGTTTTAGAGTGTATTACTACACTCTAAATGAAAAACATTTTCTAGGGCTGAGGATGTGGCTCAGTGGTAGAGTGCCTGCCTAGTATGTGAGGCCCTGGGCACCATTCCCAGCACTGTAAACAAAGCAAAGCAAAACATTTTCTGTTTGCCTTCAGCAGCCCAGTACATCTTAAGGTGCCCACTCTAGATTGTATTAGGAGGCCACGTGTCTGATCTGTGGGTTTGCATAGGTACGACTCTGCGGTATCCCACCATGCTGAGAAGAATATCAGCATTTATCAGAACTTGTTCTCCGTGTTATGGGACATGACTATATTTCCAGAGAAGTGAGTGTGGTGGGGGAGGATGAGGTTGGACAAATACTGATCAAGAGCTTGACTGCAACATTTGTTTTATCTGCTCTGGTTGGCCTATCTCCATGAAACAACTGTTATTTGCTGAGATTATTTTTGGGGGTGGGGATTGGAAATGTAATTTTTGAAAAATTTCAATGCTGATAGACAATAAAGATAATGTAAAATTGGACGGTGCTGTGAAAGATTAGACAGACTAGCACAGCGAAAGTCCTATGTGAATTCTTTCTTCACTGTGTTCAGCTTGCTTCTTCCCTGGAACATCTGGGAGCCAGCTTGCAGGTGTTCCAATCCTGGTCTCGGAACGCCCCCTTGTGGTCTGTTGTAAGAATGGCCGCGGTGGCCCTGAAAATTCATCCTGCACGTGGCCAGTCTTTTCCGTGCCCACATACATCACTGCCTTCTTCCAGACCAACATCTTTAAGCGTCTCTCTGCTCCCACTTCTTGAAACCTTCCACTCTGTCTCATGGAGTCTCCCTCTCACCCCGTCTTATAAAGCAACAGTGAAGACATTAAAATCCCACTTGGATTATCCAGGAAAACATCCCCTCCTCAGAATCCTTAGGATAGACTTCCAAGGTTGCCACCAGAGACTGTTGTGGTGTCAACCAGGTCAATAGTGACCAAAGACTAGATCTACCACTGAAATCTAGTCTGAATGGTCACCCAAAGGTGGCCACGCACATTCAGGGTTCCAGGACCCCCGGAATCAGGCATTCTGGAAGAAGTGTGTTTTGTCTCTTTGGAATTGCACTGGTTGGTCAACATTTTGAAAAATCGTTTCTCCTTAGGAATATTTAGGCTTTATTTTAAAATGTTAGTTTAAATATAAAGAGAGCAACTTTTTTTTTTTTTTTATGTCTTTTTGAGATAGGGTCTTCCTATAGTCCCAGCTGGTCTGGAACTTGCTATGTAGACCAGGCTGGCCTCAAACTCACAGAGATCTGCCTGCCTGAGCCTCCTGGGGGCTGGGATTAAAGGCATGCATCACCATGCCCGGCTAGAAAGCAACTTTTTAAAGCCTCTCCTTTATTCAGCATAAGTAGAGCCTGGTAAGGTCTTATTCTCAGCATTACTGTGAGAGCACTATCTCACTGTAATTTACCGTTGGTTTCTAATTTATACTGGAACATTTTATTTTTAAGTTCCCTGGGAGGTCTGAGTATATTGCTGTGAGTTTTTATTTCAGGAGACTGAAGGGGCTATTACAAATGCTTTACTGGAGGGGGACCTCCCTTTGAGTTGTTGGTCAGGGTAGTTCAGGAGACTAAAATAATATAGCTATTGCTACAGCCCTTGGTTGCCTCCCAGAACTTGAAGATCCTATTGCTGAAGACAGGACATACCTCAGACACAGGACGCAGAGCAATGGAGCTGGAACTGACCTGGAAGCTGCATCCCTGAAGACTAGCTCCCATAGTTTTAGAGGATACTATGCAAGCTGCTTAGGGAGAAAAACCAATTAATGAGCCTACTCTGCTGTAAAGCCTATGAACCACCGTAATAACTGTCCCAGCAAATAATCTCTCTTGGTGAAGTAGTGCGAAGTAATCACAGCTATCTAATTGGAGTTAAGGTCCACTCAATGGGAGGGAACTCCTGTGTGGCAGTGTTAAAATATCCAAATACACATGGCTGGAGATGGCATAGACCCTAGAGAAAAATCTACTTTTGTCATATCCCTAGACCAATATGATTTCTTACTATATTCTTAATATGTATCCTTATATTTACAGACAAGTATACCCTTGCCAGTCATCAAAGAAGCTTCTTTTTGCAATAGATGGAGACTATTATGAAGTTCCACAACTGGTCAAACACAGAGAATGCCTGTGAGGTCCCCAGCCATGAGCGACACATCTACAATACAGTCTCCACACGTGAGGCTTAGGGAACATCATGGAACAGGGGACAGAAAAAAATATTAATGCATCTCTCAACTCTCACCAGAGAATCTTCTCCAGGCAGCAGATTAGCCCAGAAAGCCACAACTGGCCAAAGTGCAGAGAATGAGAGACTGCAGAGTCCTCATCCCCAAACAGGACACCTGTATCAGGCTTCTGCCACCCCAGGCTCAGGAATCATCGAGGAGGAAGGGGTGGAAAGATTGTAAGATGGTGGAGGATGACCACAAAGAAACATAGTTTTCTAGACAGCTGGGAAATTATTTATACGAACTCACATCAATGGTGACAGCATGCACAAGACCCGTGTAAGCTCAAGTCAGATAAAATCCCAGCACAGAAGTGGGGAAGTAGGTAAGAAATTGCAACCTGAGCTGAGGAACTATTGGTGTCCAACAGTTGCTGGGAGAGGGTGAGTCAATTTTCTTTAAGGGTGTGATGCTAGATAGATAGGTTAACCAGGCTCCAGTGGGATGGACCCACACCGAAGGGCATTTGGGGGCACAAATTTGACCCAATAAGCCTTAATATATATGAGAGTACATGAAGTTGGGTGGAGAGGCATTAAGAGGGGTACAGATAGCGATGATGAAAATATATTGTATGAAATTTGCAAAAATTCAATGAAAAAATTTTTTAAATGCTTTGCTGGGTGTTGGGTCCGTGGGAAGAAGATGCAGTCCCAAAGTAGCAGATGGTGGAAAAGCTGGTGCTTTTCATGAGTGAAGGAAGACATCACCTATCTCTTCACATTTATTCCTCCTGTGGTACAGGACATAGGTTGGCCTGCAGTTTCCCTTCCCACTGCGATGTGAAAGTACTTCTCTGTAGTCTCTCTGCCCACTGCTCATGCCTGGTGATGGTACGCTCACTCCCAGCTGACTAGGTCCTACCTTCCCCAGGCAGTGCCAAGCTTGAGCCCTGAGCAAGTGGACACTGTGTCCCCAGCACAGCTCTTCTGAAGCAGAAGTGGCCTTTTTCACCAAGCACCCCATCCTGTCTAAACAGCCCAGTCACAGCCTTTCAAAGGCAGTTGCCCTAAGTGCCTCTATGCCCTTGCCATGGAAGCCATGGTGCAGGCCATCTCGAAGGATGAGCCTTCTTATAGCCTAGGTCTCCCACTATTGGCCCCATGGTGGTTAAGGAAGTTATTGTCCTTGAAGCTGTTGCTTGACGGATTCCATCTACTGCTAACTCCAGAGTTATTTCATCTCTTTTTCAGACGTACGTGGCTAGCCCACCTGTGTCCTTTGGTGCCAAGACTGTAGGATAGGTTATCCCAACAACAGCCTCTCCAGACTCTCTTTGTCAAGATGGTTACATCTTGAGCTATGGGGTTGGCCTTCACAGCAGGCACAGCATAGGTGGGGCATCCCTATTACTGGAGGGAGAGCGTTAATGCCTCTGTGAGGGCAAAAAAAAATGGAGAATTGGTGCAGTATCTGTTCAAGGCCTCTGTGGGCTGCTCACCTGCAGGCCTGCTGTGCTCAGCTTTCTAGATTTTGAGGTGGGCTACTAAAGGGCTCTGATACTAGCTTGACAGTCACAGAAATGAAGCTGAGTCTTCAGGGTGACAGAATGAGTCGGGAGCTTCCTTTTTTTTTGTTTGTTTGTTTGTTTTTGGTCTTTTTGAGGCAGGGTTTCCCTGTAGCCCCCAACTGGCCTGGAACTCACTATGTAGACCAGACTGACCTTGAACTCAAAGAGGCCATCCGCCTCTACCTCCAGGTGCTGGGATTAAAGGAGTGCAGCACCACCCCCCTGCCGAGGAGCTTCTATTTAATGGCTTGGTGAGTTGGAGAAAATGTCTTGACTAATGCAGGTGTTTCTGTCCTGACCAAGGAACCAGCTGGCATTTGTGTGCATGGCTGAGAAGGAAATGCCTGCCTCAGAAAAATTTTCAGCAGATAGAAGCATGGCCTGATCATCTGAGTTTGATCCCTGGAACTCATGGAAAAAGCCATATTTGGTGACATGCATCTGTAATCCCAGCACTTCTATGACAAGATAGGAGACAGAGAGAGGAGAACTAGCCAGAGCAGTGGCAGAAACAGTAAGAGCAACCCTGCTTCAACAAGGTGGAAGGTGAGGACCAACTCCTGAAAGTTGTCTTCTGACCTCCACACATGCCACTGCATGCTACCCTCAACCCACCCACATACATAATAAAAATAAATAATTTAAAATACTACTTAAAAATAATGTGGCTAGAGATGGCTCAGTGGTTAAGAGCACTGGCTGCTCTTGTAGAGGACCTGGGTTTGGTTTCCAGGACCCACACGGTGACTAACAACCATCCCTAACTCCAGTTCCAGGGGATCTGACACCTTCTTCTGACCTCTGCAGGCACTGCATGCACATGGCACACTTACATACATGTAGGCAGAACACTAATACACGTTTTTTTGGTCTTTTTGAGACAGGGTATCCCTGTAGCCCCAGCTGTCCTGGAACTTACTATGTAGATCAGGTTGGCCTTGAACTCACAGAGATCCTCTTGCCTCTGCCTCCCGAGTCCTGGGATTAAAGGCGTGCACCACCACGCCTGGCGAAATTAGTTATTTTAAAATGCCACTTGCGTGGTGGTACACCCCTTTAACCCCAGCACTCAGGTGGCAAAGGCAGGTGAATCTCTGTGAGTTCAAGGCCAGTCTGGTCTACATAGTGAGTTCCAGGCCAGCTGGGGGCTACAGGGAGACCCTGTCAAAAAATACCACTTAAAAAAGGCTTTCAGAGTGGTTGTCCTAGCTGAAAAATGTTTCCACCCGCAGAGACCAGCATGGGGTTCCACCCTAGGATTCTAAGCAATATCTTGTACCAGGTTGAACTGAGCATATAGGACAACAGGACCATCTTTCCCAAACCCCCAAACTGCTTCAATGGTAAATGATGAATCTGAGAAGCAACCTTTCTGAGAATCTTCACCTCATGTCTTCTTTGGGACAAGCAAGCACATTAAGGGGACACTCCTAGGCTAGTTCTTCAAGGTACCCTCTGAAAGCAGGCCTCCAATTGGATCAGCTCTGTGCTCAGCTTCCAGTAGGAAGCTGATTATTTCTCATAACCAAATTTCAGCTCTGCCTTAGAGAACCATGATTTTCCTAGAGTTTAGGAAACTCCTAGATCCCACCTGAAGGCCAGTGACAGTATCTATTTAGAGGATAGTATCTTTTCTGTTCTTACAGAATCTGAGAATTTCCCTATAGCTGCACTGAGGGGATAGGTGGTCTAATGAGTTGACTGCATCCTCATTCAGGCTCTCAGCCTTGGTTTCTTCTCTGAGGATGCCAGAGGGCTCCTGTGTGGATACAGGTGTC